TTTATTATAAAACCAAAAGTTTCAATAGTTGAATATGATTTATTTTCTAAACAGATATATAATATCTCAAAAAAAAAAATAACAATGTCAAAACAATAACAAGGATTAGTGTTTCGGGCGAAACTGAAACTTTTCACAATGTACTTTTAGTTTCGCCTTATATCTAAAATTAACTGAAACCTTAATTTGGAAACAAGTCGCCAGAGGTTATTTGATATAATTATATCAAATAACCTCTGGCGACTTGAGTTAGGTTATGACGGCGATGGTATAATCTAATGGTGGTGATATAATCTAATGGTGATGAAATAATCTAATGGTTATGATAGAGGTTATGTAATCTAACGGTGGTGATATAATCGGATGGTGATGATATAATCTAATAGTGGTGGTATGGTCTAATGATATGATCTAATGGTGGTGTCATAACCTGATGTCGTAATCTAATGGCGGTGACATAATCTACAAGTGGTTTCATAACCTATAGTTTAGTTATCTTTACGGCTTTCTAACTACTATTTTATTTATTTCCTGCTATATAATTTATGATAGACCGGTGGTGACATGATCTATTAGTGTGGTTATTATATAATCTAACGGTGGTGTTATAATCTGATGGAGTGTATTTTCCCGCTTATCTACGGCCTTTCTTTTATCAAGGGACTACTCATGTGTTTACATTGCTTTGCGCTCTTTTTGTTTCTAAAGAGCTATTTGCTTGTTTTTCCGCTTTTGGGCCTGTTTGGTAGCCTGTTAAGATATCGAGGATGCTTCTTTTTTTGCGCCTTTTTGGTTGCCTGTTAAAATACTGAAATAGTGTAAAAAAAGAGACGACGGGTGGCGCAATGGATTTGCGATTAATTTTGGCCAGCTCTATTGTATAACTCTGGCCGATCTTTTAGGCATGTGATTTTAGGTTCCAGCTTGGCGTCATTATGGTGACTTGATAGTATCCTGAAACTACTGTGGAGCTGTCATAGAACTGTCATAGAACTGGCGGGGAGCTAGAGAGTTCTATTAGTTCACCAATTCTGAATCAGTTTTATGCTAGCTTGGGTGCCGAATTATTATGTCCAAAAAGTATGGAATAATATTGGCCGAAATTATCATAATTTACTGCGCCTTCAGTTCCCAGCTCTTTCCCGTCACTTTCGAGTAATTTCTTCACAACTTTCACGTAACTTTTAAGGAATCATGTCTGGCCTATTTGATTACTAGAATTGGGTATACGATTTGGAAAATCAGAGCCGATACCAATTTCACATTCCAAAGTTTGTGTATTATCTTGGCCGGCCTTCTCCCATTTTTATATAATATTATTACGGAGAAGGCTACACTTTTTCAGATACAGCTAGATGCCTTTATTCTATAATTTGCTCACTAAGTTCGTATTGGGGCTTCTTCCATTTTTTATATAATAATTCTGAAGTTACCCCCTTCAGATTGGATTATATATCTAGTGTTAGGGTAGGCAAGTTCCATTTTTTATATAATAATTCTGAAGTTACCTACCCTCAATGGTGCCTATCGAGAGACTGCCCCCAATGCCTCTGGAGTCTGCCTATTCTGAAGCATCTTACGCAGAGGCTATACCATACCCAAGTACATACCATCGAGATGGAGGCTTCTGCCAATATTTATATAATAATTACGCAGAAGCCCCCACTTTCAGATACATATCTGTTTCCTTTTCATTTACGATTTGTTGACTAAGTTCGCTATTACTTCTTTTTTGCATCCATTGAGATGTAGCCTTTATGCCACATCTGGGTACATACTAGTATTAGGTATTCTTCTGCCAATATTTATATAATAGATTTCGCAGAAGAATACCCTAAATATCACCTATTAGGAACATGTTTATCCGTGATTCTTTTGCCATCTTGCTATACATCTCTTTTTGTATTCATCGAAAAAAATTATTTTAAACATTTCCGATTTATATGAAGTTATATAATTCCTTTCGAACTGACAACATGTATACCCCAATTATTTCTGATCAAACTGATCGCTCTGGATCTGGCCCAACGCTCGTCCGCTACGACGGCGCCAAGTCCGATGAATACTTAAGTGACTCAGATGATTATAATGATAATGAATCTGATTTGGGATCAGATGCTTATAATAACTACAAGTCTAATTATGAATCTGATAATGAAGAAGCTTCCTGCACTTCAACCAGCATTACCGAGACTCCATTAGTTCATTTTTCAAATGTACAAGAGCAAAATGTTAATGCAACATATACTTTAAGGAAGGAAAAGTTTAATGGTAAATTTTCTCCTAAAGATTTGCTAAATGCCATTCGAGAAATTGCCTTATCACCACCTAGAGATATGTCGAATGATAAAGGATCATTGGATTGTCTCCCAATCTATTCATTCTTATTTCCGAATGAAAAAGGCTCTAGCTTATATAATGCCTATGACCGGAATGAAGTGGAAGATAAATTGGTTATCAAAATCGATCAAGATGATAGAGCACCAAAGTTTTCTGTTGCAGATGACATTTCAGAAGTATATGGTTTGCCCGGGATTCATGAATGTATTAATGGTCAAAAACCTTTAAGAGCCGTTGTAGAGTCAACATTTTCATTAATTAAGGCGCAGCAATACAAAAGGAAATGATCAACATTACACAGTAAAAAT